ACAATATTGCCAGGATTATTGAAATGCTCAAGTAATCAGAACACGAGCCCAAAATTAGTGGTTGCTGGGGCAGACAAGTACATAAACATGCGTGCATAAGAATTAGACAAACGCACAAGGCTATACTCAATGCTTCGGCCGTTGCCCCGGCTCCCTGAAGGCCACTCAAGTAGTAATTTTTTTCACTTCAAAAGCACCGCTCATCCGTACTTGATGCCTTTTGTCCATCAGTGTAGCGTCGGTGCATTAAATTTTGCTCCCTCAAGTAAATCCAACATAGAGTGTCGAATAAAACCGTTTTTTCATGCTTCGCCCTGTTTCACACGTCACGAAAACTCATAATGTTCTATCGAATTCCTAGAGATGGTGAGCTGATCCCTCGACAGCGACTCAAAACTGCAGCTGCGTATCGAGAAGTCTGTCCAGAATCTACCAACAAACAATGTGGGACTGTTCCAGAAAAAAAACCGGCAAATATTTACCTCTCTGACTGGAGTAGTTAAGTCCAAAAGAAGAGAATCGCCGCCACCTCCAACAGCCAAAACTGTGGGATCAGCAGCAACAGTGTCACCGGTAACAACACGAGTTTCCTCCGTTGCGTCCAGCAGATGGTCAACTTTTTTGACATTTGCGCGCACGCCTAAAATGATGAGAGAGCACGTCAAGCCTTCCGCGCAATTATCAAGAAAATCATGGGTGCAAATTAATACTAATGTTCAAACTGAAATTCGCAAGTGCTGCCCACTAAAATTTTTCGATAAAAGTTTGTATTTTATATGTCAAAATTAATCTCATCTAAGCGCAGAGCTCAAAGTCCTGGCATGCTACCCTTTTTGCAGTTCAAGTAAGCAACTTTCGATAACAGACACGCGACAGGTGGGACAATACGCATCGGACACATACACACAAACGACCCAGCTGTAACATGTATTTTGTGCAGCTATTGTACGGCACAAAACGTATAAAAACTGAAAAAAAGAATAAAACAGAGGCACTTACCACGATCGGAGTGATGGTGGTGAAGATGATGTCGTTTGTCGGGAGGAGGCGGCAGATCGTTCACATCAACAGCAGGCGGTGACCAGTCCTTCAGGATGTATCTAAAAGCCAGTCACAGTTATTACACACAGTTTTTTTTATAAATATGCGTACTAGAGCATCCCAAAGCAATAGCAAGCAACCTTTTGTGTTCGTATTTGGCACGGATGAACGACTCAAGGGCGGAATCGGTTTGAGGCCTACGAAAATGTTCGGGCAGTTCGGCCTCGTAGACGCGACGCGCCAGTTTGTTGCCCATCACACGCATACTCTGCACCTGCTCCGGCGTCCAGGAGTCCAGATTAACCGATTTCACCTGAAAACTCCACAGCTATGCAGCACATCAGGAAAAGCAGAAGCAACTCCGGAGTGCATGAAACAGTAGACTAGAGGGGTTGGACTTAAGTGTCGCATGTGTAAGAAGACATTTTAGGATGCACTCTGTGTTTCATTCCTTAGCTGTAAACATATCAAACTTTGCATGCGAGTAGAAGCAGGAATCGCCAGTACGGCCTCACACCTGTCAAGTACTGAACAGAGTCATGTGACTAATTTGCAAGACGGATATGCGAGAGAAAGAGAAAACAGAAAGAGAAAAAGCACTGTACCTTGGTGAGATGCACGCCGAGATTGCGATGTATGCCAGCACAACGGATACAGAGGAAAACGCCCAGGTTCCAGGATGCCCAGCGTGGTTGCTTCGCCTCGCAATCCGCGCAATACTTGTTCTCCTCCTCACGCAGCAGTTCCACCACCATCGCTAAAACACAGCCTTTCCTTTACATTTCCGACTTAATGGACCGAAACACTTCTTACCATTATAATAATTTTACTAATTTTGTAATTCTCATTTCCTACCCTCATTTTTGATTATGCGTTTTTGCCGTGCAGCGCTAGAGCGCTGCAACAGGCAGCAAAAACGCATATTGC